GAAGTCACCAGGAGACCCAGCCCCACTGCATCCTACCTGGGTCATTCGAAGGTAAAAGTTATAATTCTGCAAGAAATGGGGATCAACAACGTATGCATTAAAAGCACAGCTTCAAGACACATACAACAAAACCATATAGAAATACAAGCTGTTATACAATTCTAACACATGAAATTTATATATTTTACTTGTAAATAAAAAAACAAAAATAAAAGCTGTTGAAAATTTGAAAAATATAGTAAGTTTTGTTATGTTTGTGTTTGTATATATATGTGAACAGGGTTTCCATAAATATATATTTTTACCCAATAGATGACTCACAGTGTATTCTAAACATAGAGGCCACTCACAAAATTTAACATGTCATAATACTGAGAAAATTTCAATGATTTCTAAAAATCAGAACTCCTAAAGTTCATCTTGTTTTACCATAATTCAATAGGATTAAAAATTAACTGTCTAAAGAAAATGTCCAAAAATATATCTACTCTTTTGTTAAGGAAAACATCAAAACCAAAATTATAAACCAAACTTAAGAGGCTATCTGATATCAAAATTTCTGAGATCTAACTAAAGAGGAACTTAGAGGAAAAGATGTTGCCTTAACTGTATTTATTAGAAAATTAGAAATACTAAAAATACAGTGTATACTCAACTCAGAAAAAAAGACTATAAAAATGAATTACAAATGAAAATAGTTACAGTAGAATAAATAAAATAATTTAAAAACAGATATTAATACAATGAAAACAAAAATTCCAATAATTAAAAAATAAGCTAGTATTTTAATGAGATCAAAAAGAGAGTTCAACTTCTTAGGTGTGATTAAAAGAACAAGAGAAATTCTAAGGACAAATGATAAATGACAGGGTAGATTGCAGACGAGGAGATGTGAAAAATTTCAGACATGTAAATCTTTCTATTAGCTTGAAAATAATAGATTAAAATATGGTTTTCCAGGAATATATAATGACCAAAATTGAATCTAGAAACAATAGAAAACCCATTGATGGAATTTTAAGCCAGTAAAGAATGTCCCCTAAGAAAGTCAACATGTCTAGACAGTTTTATAGAGGACTAAAAAATGCATATCTACTATACAAAGATGTACTGTATATTAACAAAAGTCTCAGAGCTTACAGCATAGAAAATGATTGAGAAGCTTCTCAATTTATTCTATGAGGCTAGAAAACTCCTCAGATGAGGAAAGGAAAGAAAAGAAAGAGTAGCTGCTTTAGAACATAGAAGCAAAAGTCTCCAAAAACATACCGACGCCGACTAGCAATGCAGACACAGCAGTGCCCTAGGAGTGAACGTGTCACAGCGGGGAAATAAACAAGATGGCGCACACAGGCAAGGCACTTATGGCCGCCCCTGGAAAGTCATAAGTGGTGAATCAAAGTCAGATATTAGCATTCTAATTATGGATAGCTGTTTCTGTATCCAGGATAATTTTTAGATAATTTGCCACAGTAACCATTAATGGAGAAACAAGCCATGTGGTCACTGTATATTTTACTGAAATATTAGGGTTCCAAAGACAGGAGCACTGACCGCCAGGTGACCTGCCCAGAGAGTGTATGGGGAGCGCGCAGAGGGCTGCAGCGTCCTGCAGACGGGCGGGGAGTAAACAGACGTTCTACCTGGCTGCATCCGTGAGGGAGAGTGTGGAGTTTATGCGAGGGTTTAAGGCCTCTGGCTCAGGGCTGGGCTGGTTTACACGTGTCCAACAGCTCAGTGTTTTTGAGCAGGAACCTGACCAGCTCTATGGGTGCCTGGGAAGTGGCAAGGCCTGGCTTAGCTGCAAGCCTGCAGGGGGCTTCTGTGTTTCTCAGTCAGGACAAAGGAAAGAAAGAGGAGGGGGCTGGGGGACCCTGCAATTACCTTTAATGGTATAAAATTATTATTAAAGACAACAAGGAGCAAGAATCACACTGTCCTCATTATACCAGGTGTGGCTAAAGAACAAGTCAAAATTTTTCTAACATGCATTACAGTGTTGGAAAGAAGAAACAACATTTGCACACGTCTATGTACCGAGAAGGCCCAAGATAATAAACGAAAATAATTTAGTAAATCAGCCAAATATAAAGGAACACACTGGAATGGAATACTTTCCTATATATCAGCAGTAACCAATTAGAAAATGAAAATGAAAAATATCCCATGCATTCAGCAACCCAAAACATGAAAGAATGAAATATTAACCTTGCAAGAAATATGCAAGATGAGCAACAAGAAAATTACAAAATTATAAAACATAAATGAATGTCATCAAAGGAGATCTAAATAAATAAACAAACACTGTGTGCCTAGATTAAAAATTCAATATTTAAAGATGTAAACTCTTTTCCTATTAACTTGTACAACATGGCAACAAAATCCCTACTGCATTTTTAATGGAAATCCAAATGTTGAGAAAATGCTGAACAATAACCAACAGAACAGTTGAGATAGAAGATTAACAAATAACATAAAGTATACTATTTGTTAGGTCTAGAGCCAAGAGAGACTCGCGAAGCCTCATGTGTAGCACAGTGCTGTTTATTTGAGCGTCTGGGTGCAGATGGGTGGAGGCCAAAGAATGTCCACACCAAGAGAGAGGAAAGCCTTGGGTTTTATGGAGGGTTTCTCAGGGGAGAGTGAGTGCCTGGGCCGGAACAGCGCTGCAATGAAATTTTTTTTTAAACAGCCAATTTCTAGGAACCCTGGGTCAGTCTCATCCTGCAGAGCTAAGGGAGGCGGGTGGCTTCTCCTCATCAGGAGGATAGGAATGCCTCTGCACTGCCACTGTCTGTTAGATTTTATAGCCTTTGGGGACTCTCCAGACCTCTGCGGCTATTGCTTCACAAACCTCAGTTTTCTGTTAAACGCATTCAGTCCCATACATACTTTTCGAGTTCCCACGTGGAACAAACCTAACACTATTAGGCTAATGAAATATTGAAACCTTATAATTGTGAACTAAAATAAAATCTTAAGCCTCCGCCCCCCCCCCGACTGAATTGACCCCCTCTTGGCCAAGGGGATGCCCTAAAACTCAATTACTGGTCCAGAGAAGAGAGGTCAGACATGCCTCCTCATGCCCCCTCCCTTCTTATAGATTTCATCTGTAACCCATCAACAGGCCTAAGGCTATGTAGGACAAACCTGCAGGTCCTCAATTTACACAACAAATATATGGCTGGTAGCTTGTCTCTAATTACGAGACTTCTTTATCTTAAGGCATTCCAAGCCTCTAGACAAAGCGTCATGTCTTTAACCAATTACAAGCCAAGGAGTCTTTAAACCCACCTATAATCTGTAAGCTCCCCTGCTTCCAGACAGCCCACCTTTTCAGGCCAAACCAATGTCTGCCTCCCACTTCACCTGTAACCCCTGTCTCCCTGAAATGTATAAAACCAAACTGTGACCCAACCACAGCAAATCCACTTGCTCAAGGCTTCTTGGGAATGGCTCTGGGTCACAGTCCTCAAATTTGGCTCAGAATAAACCTCTTCAAATTATTTTGTTAGGGACCGGCTTCTTGCACCCCGCCAGGCAGACGAACAAAGACACCAAGGATGCAATCACTCAAGAGGAGCTTTATTTTCTGGCTAGCCAGGGTCCAGGCCCTAGAGTGCCAGCGCAGTGGCCGCTCTTACAGGCAAGGACCCTGACCAAAGCTGGGGCTCCCCTTTTATCCCCCCTCCCTCTTGAACACCCGCGCTGTACAAGCTGATTGTGCGTGTTAGTCTTTAAAATGATTGGTGGACTGGTAGCCCGCCGGCGGCAAAGGGGGCTTTCTCCCTTATCTGGCCCCATACCTATGCGTCCAGCTGCAAGCAAGCGATTCTCAGAAGCAGAAATATGCGTTTAGCCGATAGCTCTACCTTTGGGCCCCAAGCTAGAAGTTTCCAGGAGCCGATTACTCCTCCCCTGGGCCCATTTTCTGTTATCCGGGCTCGCACAAGTGAGCCAGCAGCTTTGGGGTGCAATCAGGCCCTTACAATTTTACAGAATTTGGCTTCTTTTCTGTTGCTCTGATACATGTACAGGGCTTAGCCAACAGATTAACTGAACAGAATAGTAAATTTTACAATAGACTCAAGAAATTGTGGTACTTTATACCTGTATCTATGATTCAAGTAGCATCTCAAATCCATGGGGAAATATGGCATTCTAATAAGCATAATTGGAACAATTGACTACACATTTAGAAAAATAAAATGAAATATTTAACTCATGCCATGTAACAAATAAATCACCTGTATTAAAGAGCCAAATTTTTAAAAATACAAGCATTAGGAGAAAATTTAAAATAATATATAAAATATTGGAGAGAACATAATCTAGACACTTTTTGTTAAAACTTTTGTTACAATTTGACCAAAAACTAAAAATATTTTCTAGAAGAGAAAAATACCACTAATAAATTAAATGACAAATAATAAACTTCTGGAACACAATGTTCAACAGATTCGGGGCTCTGTTCGCCTCTCCATGTGGGGAGACTGGCCCTCCTGTAGCAGCTGGGAAAGGGCAGGTTGATGGACATGAAGTTTCTTGGGAATGCAAGTCGCCAATCTGCTCAAACATGAAATGTGCTTACTTTTGATGAAGAAATTTCACTTCTAGAGCTTTAGCCTTACAAAAAGTTTTCACATGCAGATAAGGATGTAACATGAGATGCTTAGGATGCTCATTTCAGAATTTTCTATAAAAGGAAAATTTGAAGCTATAAAAATGTACGTGTACTTTGGAGTATTAAGCAGCCACTAAACAAAGTGATGTAGACCTGTGTGGATGACCAGAAAAGACTTCTAAAATGCTGGTAAACAAGTAAAAGAAAATTATATGTAATACGATTTTATCTTTTTAAAATGTAAAGGTGACATTTACAGTGACAAAGTGTATGCAAGTAGGGGTGTGTGTGCCTAGAAAAGGGGCGGGAGAGCTGCGGAGGGCGTGCAGTGGCGCCGCGCGAGGGAAAGCGACGCGGACGCTCTGGGACTTCTGCCCAGCCGCCTTGTAAAATGAATGAAGATAGACCTGGGGACTCACAGAACCTTGCTTGAGTTTTCTGTCGAAAAAATGATGACTGTCCTAATAAATATGGAGAAAAGAAAACTTATGAGAAATGGAATCTCACTGTACATTACTATTGTTTGTTAATGTCCAGTGGAATTTGGCAGAGAGGTAAAGAAGAAGAAGGAGTTTATGGTTTTCTAATTGAAGACATCAGGAAGGAAGTAAATAGAGCTTCTAAACTGAAATGTTGTATTTGCAAGAAAACTGGTGCTTCAACTGGATGCGTTGCCCCCCGATGTAAACGAAGTTATCATTTCCCTTGTGGACTTCAGAAAGAATGTATTTTCCAGTTCACTGGCAATTTTGTGTCATTTTGTTGGAACCATGGACCTGTTCAAATCATTACATCTAATAGTTATAGAGAATCCTTACCATGCACCATTTGCTTGGAATTTATTGAGCCTATTCCAACTTATAGCATATTACGAAGTCCTTGTTGTAAGAATGCTTGGTTTCATAGAGAGTGTTTATAGGTTCAAGCAATAAATTCGGGAGTATTTTTCTTTAGGTGTACAATATGCAACAATAGTGACATCTTTCAGAAAGAGATGTTGAGAATGGGGATTCATATTCCTGAAAAAGATGCATCTTGGGAATTAGAGGAAAATGCTTATCAAGAGCTTCTGCAGCACTATGAGCATTGTGATGTCCGAAGGTGTCGTTGCAAAGAAGGGCGAGACTATAATGTACCTGATAGCAAATGGGAAATAAAGCGATGTCAGTGTTGTGGTTCCAGTGGAACACATTTAGCCTGTTCCTCACTGCGATCATGGGAAGAAAATTGGGAGTGTTTGGAACGTAGAGGTATTATCTACAATTCAGGAGAGTTCCAAAAAGCCAAAAAACATGCATTACCCAACTCTAATGTGGGAATTACTGATTGTTTATTGGAAGAGTCATCACCTAAATTACCCAGACAGTCACCTGGAGCCCAGAGTAAAGATCTACTAAGGCAAGGCAGCAAATTTAGAAGAGACATTTCTGCTATACTGATAGAGTTAGGATTCCAAATTAAAAAAAAAAAAAAACTAAAAGATTGTATATCAACAAAGCCAATATCTGGAATAGTGCCTTAGATGGATTCAGAAATCAAAACTTTAATCCTTCATATGCAATTGAAGTAGCATATGTTAATGAAAATGATAACTTTGGAAGAGAGCATCCTGGATCAAAGCAAGAATTTCTCAGTCTCTTAATGCAACATCTTGAGAACTCATCATTGTTTGAAGGGTCCTCGTCAAAGAACTTATCTCTAAATTCTCAAGCCTTGAAAGAGAATCTTTACTATGAAGGTGGCAAAATGCTTGCCATTTCTTTGGTTCATGGTGGTCCTTCACCTGGTTTCTTTTCTAAAACGTTGTTTAACTGCCTTGTTTATGGACCAGAAAATACCGAACCAATTTTAGACGATGTTTCAGACTTTGATGTGGCACAAATTATAATCAGGATAAATACTGCAACAAATATGGCTGACTTAAAGTCAGTAATAAATGAATCTATAACTACCTAGAGTTTATTGGATGTCTAAGACTTACAACAACATTAGTGATAAATCTATGTTGGTAAAAGACATACTTGTATACCATGTAATTAAGAGAGTCCAAGCACCCTTTGAAAGTTTTAAGCAGGGTCTGAAAACTCTTGGTGATTTGGAGAAAATTCAGACTTATCCAGAAGCGTTTTGTAGTATCTACTGTCATAAACCTGGGAATCTTTCTGCAAAAATCCTTAGTGATCTTTTTACAGTACACACATTACCTGACGTACAAGCTTTGGGGTTTTGGAACAGTTACTTACAGGCTGTTGAGGATGGTAAATCTGCAACAACAATGGAAGACATTCTTATTTTTGCAACTGGTTGCAGTTCCATTCCTCCAGCTGGATTTAAACCCACTCCTTCAATTGAGTGTCTGCATATGGATTTTCCTGTTGGAAACAAGTGTAATAATTGTTTAGCAGTTCCAATCACCAATACATATAAAGAGTTTCAAGAAAATGTGGACTTTGCCATAAGAAACACTCTAAGACTAGAAAAGGAAGAAAGTTCTCACTACATCGAACATTAAAATGTTTCTTTGAACAAAGATCTTTGTTTAAAAGCTGCTATTGAAAACATTTTTTTGTTTTAGAAATCTTTTCATCATCACTTTTCAACTAATTTGTTAGCTCCTTGGCCAAATAAAATTTATGATATGAACATAAAGGAATATTTTGGCCATTCAAGCTAAAAATTTTTTTATTAAAGCATACTAATCAAAATTTGTGATATTTTTCCATTTTCTTAATATATATGCTTCATAAACTTCAATATAAATACTTTCAGAATGGTTGTACAGACTTTATTAGGTATAGTAGCATGGTATATATAAGATAAAAGCTGTTTTACTCACTATTTTTATAAATCAGGATAACCTGTAGGGTGCCAGGATATTTCTAGTTTTATGCAATTTCAAATTATTCTTTATTTTAAAGCATTAAATAGAAAAGTTAATTGGATAAATCTTGTTATATAAATCAGATACATATATTTGGGGGTACATGTTATAATATTATGTATGCATTTCTAGGATGGCACTAAATTAGTGGTTAAATATGTTTTTAGATTACTGATTTATATTAAAAAGACCCACATTGCAATTAGACTATGCCTAATAGGAAATATTATTATAAAAAGGCCAGAATTGCGCAAAATATTCTGGAATCTGGACATTCCATAGTTTAAAAACACTTCTGAGGTGGATAAAGTGTTGTTGAAAATATGTAAGACAGTGTGTTTTCTTAAAGCCTGGGCTTAATCATAGAATTTTTTTTTTCTGTATCCTATATGTGATATTCAGTATGTCTGATCCATAATCAGTTTAAGTATCTAAATGATCTCTGTGGATTGCCATGTGATAGATGTGATCATTTAACAATTATTTATTATCAATATAGTTGTATGTTAGTTAAACTGGCACCATAGCATTATACAGTTATCTTCTTTGCTCTTGAATGATATCTGTTATTATATAAGCAATGTGTAAATAAAGTAAAAAGGACAGAATGAAAAACCCACTCTAAAATCTCACCACACAGAGATAAGTACTTTCTTTGTGTCCTTCTATAAATGCTTTACTTATGTTTCCTTTATTTTTAAACTCTATTAATGCTACTAAATGTCAAAGAATACCTAAAAGTAACAAGAAATCATGTAATAACAATGTTAAGATATGTACACGTCTGCATGTTTATACTCCTGCAAAAGAAAAAATTCGAAAAAATCTAATGTCCCTAATCTTTTATCAAATATAAATGACATAAAGTCCCAATTTTCCACTAAAGTAAATGCTTATGACAGGTAATTCATTATGGGAGGTAAAATGTTGTAAGCATACTCTTCTTAGTACACAAAGCAGGTATCAGCTATTGTCATATTTTCATTTTTCCCAAGAAATATCCTTAAATTACTGATATTTTTAGAGAAAAATAACAGGATTGATTTGATATAGATAATACATCTGTTACCACCAAAGGAAAAGTAAACATAATGCTAGTGTAATTTTCTTTGTTACCTCATATATATTTCAAAGTTATATTCCTAACAGACTTAGCAATTAAAGTTTTACTTAAGTATTTGGAAACATCAAACAATGTATTTCTTTATCATATGTTGAATTCTATTGGATTACTAAAGTAATTAAAGGATCGAGTAAGAAAGTTTGAATATCTAATATAAACCTAAATTCACCGTACACTTTTTTCAAATGTGTTGATAATTGGGTATTTGTTTCTTAAACTGTCTATATTTTATAAATTTAAACAGTCATTAACCAATATAACACAAAAATCTAAGTAAAGCCATTTTCTGGTTTATAGTTTTAATTAATTCCCCCTACAGTGGTAATTAAGGCTGATACAACACTCGCACTCTTGCTGAGTGTGGGTGGCAGTGGAGCAGTGTGCTTAAGTCAACTACTTATAACAATCTTCCAAATCCTCATTTTACTTATTGTAGATTTAGACAGGGCCTTAGTGATAAGATGGTGTAAATAATAATTTAGGACGTTTGTGTTTTAAGTGAAGATAAATATTCATATTGCAAAATGTTTTCTGGTTGGAAGGATGTTCCATTACTATGATTTTTAGATTAATTTGTGTAGTCAAGGCACATCAGAGAAATCTGTAGGTTATTTATTTTCCACAGTGTTATTTTGTTCAAATGGTTGGGTTTTATAATGTTCTTTTCCTGTTCATTGTATAGCCAGTGCATGATTCTTACTGACATTGAATTTTAAAAAGGAATTATGCTATAAGCCTTTATAAATATTATGTATTTCTTAAATATTTCAATTGTCTAAATGTTGTATATTTTAAGCTTGTTTTCTCTTGGTCTCAGTATTGAGGAAAACCATAATTGACCTATAATGCATCTACTCTTAATAGTTTTGGTTAGTTTTGTATTCATTGTTTCTAAACAGACTTTAAACTATTTTTAGTATGGAAACATTATCTTAAGACCTTATATACAATTCTCTACCTTTCTTGTACTTAGTCATTTTATTATTTTAGAATTTAAGAGAAAGATTCTTTAAAATATGTCATCAAAACTAGCTTACAATTTTATACTTTGTAATATTTAGTTTCTCTAATTTGAGGAAGTGATCTTTTGTTTGGGTTAAGTAAAAAGCCTTTATTTGTTTACCAGCATGAGAATTCACTTTGGTTTCTATTTTATGCATCTGTACGTTATTGGAACTTTTGTACTCAATACTAAATGCTAAGTAAAGGGGAGTGTAACAGGTATCTTTCTTAGTGACTTTGCCTTTAGAATTCAGACATAAGAAAATCATCAGAATAAGATTCTATTTATAAACAAATAATTCTTTTATATGGCATTGTTGCTTTTATAATAAGCTATTAAGCTAGTTTTTATGCTTCAGGTAATGCAATAGAAAGCATAAAAACACATTTAATTATGAATTACTTGAATATGTATTTCCTGTAGTTTAGGAAAATTTGAATTGCCTGGAAGAGACCCAATTTTCAAGTTGTGATTTTCACTGTTACCTTTTCCAATTCCTAAACATATTTCAATACCTACTGTATATCAGGTATTAGGCTAGGTGATAGTTTGTATGTCAGCCTACTTTTCCGTTTTTTCAAGACTGCCAGATATAACAAAAAAGCATGGCCTTTATAATGTTTTCTAAATAAATGTTTATGCCAGAAAAAAAAAGGGGGGGTGGGGAGTCACCACCTCCCGGCTGGCTGAAAACATGAGAGGCTGGAGGGGGAGGCCTGGGAGGCAGGTGTCAGCAGCCCCGCAGCGAGAGTGCATCTGCCCCGGGCTACCCCTGCACAGCACGGTCATAGAGCCCACTGTCATTGCAGGAGGCCCGTTCTTCTGGAGGTTAGGGTGAAACTCAAAGTGCCACATGTTAGTAAGCCACACTCTTCAATCTATTGACCGTGGTCTTGGAAACCGGCAGTGGGCCAGCTCGGGAGTGGAGAGCGCGGGGCATTGCGGGCAGGCCCCATCAGGGAGTAGGGTCACTCTGAATTTGGATCCTCGTTTCTGCTGGGAGAGACCCAGGAGGGCGGGGAATTGAGATGCTGCAGGTTTCCCAGCTCTGTCACCTTTGTGGGGCAAGTTATTAATGTGTAGCTGTTTACCCATGTTGTAGTAATTGTGTCTCCAGCCAGTGCCTACTGTGACAGGATCAGCAGACAGCACAGTTATTCATCATCGTGTTGTCATGGCTTAATTGTCCTTTAAATGCATCAGAATACAGCAGAGGTTGAATGCAGGGAAGGATTCCCTTAGCTTCCCTGAGAACCAGCACATGTAGACACTGAGAAAATGGAATACAGTTTCCAAGCAAACAGTGGATCCCAAATGAGGGTTTATCAACACACACTGCTCTTCCCATCTCTGCTGTGTCCTCTGCTCAGCCCTGATGTACGAGAGCTACCATTGGTTGAGGGCTAACTATAGGCCAGACAGGCGGGAAACAGCATTTCCTTAGAATTGGGCAATAACCCCGAAAAATGGTCACTGTGTTACATTGTGCCCATTTCACACATGATGAAACTGGGGGTCACAGAATCTGACCAGTCTAGATTCTGTGGCAGACAAATAGCAAAGCTGTGAGTGAAACTCGGTCTAAAACTCTGTGTATGTGTGTATGTATATGTGTACGTGTGCGTGTGTGTGTATGCATGTGCATGTGTGTATGAGTGTGTGTGTGTGCATGTGTGTATATGTGTGTGTATGTGTGCGCGTGTGTGTGTGTGTGTTGGGGAAAATGCTGGAACATCTCCCATGTCTGAAATGATCTACCTTCTAGAACCTAGTTTATGTGTATTTGTCAGAGCTCTTCAGAGAAGCTATCCTTGATCATTGCAGCCTGAAGGAGTTGCCTCTACTGCATGAGGGCCCACGGTCGATCGGAATTCATGCGTGCGCCCGGCCTCCCGCCAGGTTGCCCACACACAGCTTCAGAGCAGCCTTCCAGCTAGCAGGGACAGAGAGCTCTGCGCTGTCCCTGGACCTGTCAGTGCCAGCGGAGCCTGCACTGCGTGAGGCGCTCTGATGCATGTGGCTCCCTCATGAGGGGCCTGGCCTGCACGAGGCTCGTCCTGCCTGGCTGCACATGAAGCCACATCTTCCTGGAAACTTCTGATTATTCTTTTGCTCAGATATCTGCATCTGGAAATGCATCTCTAATCTATCAATATTTTCCTGGACTAAGGAAATTGATAACTCCTCGCTAAACTTTCTCAAATAGAAACCTCCTCACTTCCCTCCTTGAGTGAATGGGTTAGGGGCATTGAGGTTCCCTCACTAGAAGAGAGGTGTGTGGGCTAAAATTCACCGGCTTTGAATTTCAGTGACATGAGTAAATACAAACGACCAACTCTGCGCCCTCCTGGACACGGGATTTTCACCCCGTGACTTCGCAGCTCCCCAGCTACGTGGGCAGAGTCTGTTTCCTACTGCTTGACTCTGAATTTAACCTTCGTGGCCGCTTTTGGTCGGTGGACGCTATGAGACGTGACACAAGCTGAGGCACGAGAGAGCCCTGCGCGCGGCGGCTCCCTCAGCCTGCACACACACGCGCCTCGGGTGCTGGCGGGGGGGCCTCGAGCGCAGAGAGCCCTGGTCACCACACCCAGGCCACTGGGTCAGCCGAGAGCCAGCCCTGGGCCCCGGACCACTCCCTGCCTGACCACCAGGCACCTGGGGGAGAAATGGGCAGCATGATTCTGGAAATAACTGACTGGTCAGTTATTTTAAGGGTATTTGGAGGCCAAGACTTTTAGCTCCAGCTCTTTCAGCTGCTAAGCTCGGGCCACATCACTACAGCCTCACGACTCTCTGTCCCTTCCCTGGGGAAGCTTCCGGGGGTGGGCTTAGACGATTCATGAACAGCCCAGGAGAACGTGCTTTGCGACCGGTGAGAAGGCAGTTGTAACCCCCATGCGAGTGGGTCCACGAGGGGGAGTTTCCCTTATCCACCAGGACAAAATCTGGGGGACCACCCTAAAACCTCAAAACTATAATATTATAGAACATGATCTGTCTTAATTTTTAAGCCTTTTATTCCTTTTTATTTATTCATTTTTCTCAAATTGTATTGATTTGGGAAAAATGAAAGCTTATTCATGATAAAGAATGAAAATAATGCAGAAAAAGAAAAACACGTTTTGAACTCCCCGGGGGTCCAACGCCCCAGCAAGCACACCCGCACTGCGGCCCGCACCGGCAGGGGCCGCAAGGGAGCGGCGAAGCTCTGCAGAGAAATTCCCTGCAATAAAAATAGGATTATCAACACCTACTATTTTCACTATAAAAGTATTTTATTAAATTTAACTTCAATTTTAAGAGAAGAAAATGAAGTGGTATTTGAACGGAGGGAATTGCAGATCTTCAAGTAAATGTTGCTTTGCCACAAAAAATTATATTTTGTAGAAGAGCCCTGTAAGGTTAAGAACAAGAATATGAAAAACATTAAGAGGTTGAAGCCTTTATGTTTTTAACTCTATATTTCAGTTTCAGAAAATTTTAAACACACTCTATTATAAAAGACGAGGACATGGGCATGCTTACACTTCCTCTTTCCACTTCTCTTGATTTTCATTGGTGATATGTGTAATGTTTACTTTGTCACAGTTGAATAGCATTTGCATTCTATTTTGTAACTACCATGTTTCTCCGAAAATAAGACAGGGACTTATATTTATTTTTCCTCAAGAAGACACCATAGGGCTTATTTTCAGGGGATGTGTTATTTTTTTTAAGTACGGTACAACAATCTACATTTATTCAAATATAGTTAAGTGGTCTTTTTCTGGAACATCATCCTAACTCTCCAAACCCCGAATTCCATCCTGAATTTCTTGCAACTCTATTTCCTTTAGAACCATTGGCCCCAGTCTCTCATGTGGAGCACTAGAGCTGTCACGGGGCAGATGGGAAGGGCTGCTCCTCTTCTTTCCTGCTCCGCGACGGCATGCATGGGTTGTGCAGACGCGCTGCGAGGCCACGCCCGTCACTAGGGCTTATTTTCGGGGTAGGGCTTCTATTGCACAGATGCTTAGAAATCCTGCCAGGGCTTATTTTAAGGGTAGGTCTTGTTTTCGGGGAAACACGGTATTACTCTTACTGGTTTTTAGCTTTTCCCCCCCTTGTTAAGTGGATTTGATATTTGTGAGTCCTTTTTATGATGACTTTTACTCTCCTGTGGGGTTTTTATTTTTAAAGCTGTGTTTGCGCCGCTGCAGTTTACCCTGAGCAGCTCCTGCTCTCCCTAGTTCCTTAGACCTCTCACAGACCTGCTCCCAAAGTCCGCCGCCCGCGGTCCGCCGCCTTGTTTTTCTTCCACTTAGAACTTTTTAATCCACACACTCCATTACTTGTGTTTTGGGTCTTTTTTTAAAAATATTTTTCTGATTTTTTTTCTTTTATTTTTTTTTAAATTTCAAAATATTAAAGAGGTACAAATGTTTATGACATAGCTTGAGTCAGGGCTATAAATGTGCCATCACTCAAATAGTGTTCATTGCCCCTCCCCTCCTGCCTCCAAACCCGGGTTGATTTCCACTGAGTTTTACTTCCCTCTGTGCACTTGTGTGCTGGGGTCTCCACCCCAGGCGCGCGGGGCCGTCGCCTCGCGGCTCCCTCTGCAGCCCTGTCCAACCCCGCGCTGAGCCTCTGCAGCCCTGTCCAACCCCGCGCTGAGCCTCTGCAGCCCTGTCCAACCCCGCGCTGAGCCTCTGCAGCCTGTCCAACGCCGCGCTGAGCCTCTGCAGCCCTGTCCAACCCCGCGCTGAGCCTCTGCAGCCCTGTCCAACCCCGCGCTGAGCCTCTGCAGCCCTGTCCAACCCCGCACTGAGCCGCAGCAACCCTGAACTCGCTGTGTTGTTCCTGTCGCTTTGGCACTCAAAAATTCTAAATCTGCCTTTTAAACCTATTCTCTCAACTTTAATCTCGTCCTGTACCTGGCCCACGTGGGATGCGCCTCTGTCTGGAGGAGGGACTCAGGGAGTGCTCCCGCTCGGGCTGCCTCGTCCTCCCTGCTCTCCTCCGCGCCTGGGGCGCCGCCGCTGCCTTCCTCCTTGCCGCAAAGGCTCGTCTGGCTGGGCGTCCTTGTCGTCCGTCTGTCTCACCCTGAACGCCGTCGGCGCTGAGGTCATCGGGCGAACTTCCGCGGCGGCCTTCCCTCCCTCGGACGTTAGCGCCTCCGCGAGGCCGCCCGGGCTGCAGGCCGTCTCCCGCCCCGCGGGGCGCGCGCCCCGGGCCGCGCAGTGCGAGGAGACGGCCTCCTCCGCTCTAGGAGTGGTCTTTACGTGTCCACCGTGGCCCAGTAGCCCACAGTCACCAGATTGGAGGGTGCTGAGAGAGCGCTGGGAATGCGTTTTGCTTTAGCTCCTTGCGCAGTTTGGCCTCTGGCGGCTGGAGGAGGCGCGCCTCCCTTTGAGCGCGCCGATGTGCCCTGTCCCTGGTTTGGAGGCAGCTGGGAAGGTCTTGCTGACTTTTGTCCTTTTCTTTTGGAGAGAAGGTTGTGACTGGGCTTCGCTTTCCTGCCATCACTGTCCCACTTTATTTAACACCAGAGCCGCAGCGGCCAGACGGCGACACCCGCGGCAGACCTAGCCGCGTGGGCGAGCGTCCAGGGGCGTGCACGCTGACACGCGCGGGAACCGGCTCCTGCGCGGCAGAGGGCGGACCGCCCGCAAGACCAGAGCCCTGGCTCTTCACTTCCCACTACTCATGCAACCTGTTCGGAAATTAAACTGCACGCGGGGGAAGACGCTGAGGTGGCTGCGATCACGGGGAAAGGCAGCAGAGGCGCAGCAAGACAGAACCCAGAGCAGGAGGGCCGCTGTCGCCGCCCCAGCTGCAGGTGTGGACAGGAGCGTCTGGGCTTTCAGGCCCCACGTGGAGCAAAGGCCCACCGCGTGGAGCGGTGAGGAGACAGCCTCCTTGTAAGAGTGTGCTTTCTGTCAGCAGCGCCAGCCCCCAAGTTCAAGAAAAATGACTGGTAGTAAAGCAGAAATTCATTGGAAGTACTAATAGGCAGTGCTTGCTGTCCTTTATGCCAACGCTCTGCCAACCCGTCTCCCAAACGCGCATGCTCACTTCCTCCTGCACCTACAGAATGCGGAGGAAGGTCCCGGCCTCCCTCCGGTCTGAGCTGCACCTGCTCACAGGGCAAGTCCCAAGGGAATCAGATGCCCACCTGGAGCAGGTGATAGCAACCACATCCCCACCGTGATAACTGACGTCAATTACTGACTGCCCACTAGGAGTCAGGAAGCATGTCGTGTGTTTTACAGACATTATTTCATATAAACCAAACTCAGAATGCAGATAGGAAATGGAAAAAAATATATTAGGCTCTGTATACAAATCATTTGACTAGAAAATGCCAGAGTTAGAATTTGTTCTTAAATCTGTCTCTGAGATCCAGCATCTATTAACTTTTTCCTTCTCTTTGCAGGAGACCCAAAGATAAAAGGCCCTAGAACATTTTGAGAGGATTCCAATCAACTCCTCTGTCTCCCCTGGATTATTTCTGTGAGGGGTGGGCAGCTCAGCCCATGCATGCCCATGGGCTCAGGGCATAGCCGGGGTCCAGCAACTCAGCGGGGCCCCTGACCTGTCAGCCCCGCACCCAGAGGGACAGAGCTCTTCTGCTTCCACCAGACTCCTAAGGTGCATGCAGGCCTTTGTTCCTGCTTCCCTAGCTGCTTCAGTTATTCACTCATTCAACAAACATTAAGTGAGAGTGAAAAAGCCATTGTTTGTACACCCTGAGGGTGCAACTGAGAGAAAAGCAGTCAAAAGCCTCTGCCCTCTGGGAGCACACCTTCTAGTGGGGAGGTGCAGATAATGATGAAGAGGCGGAAGTAGGAAGTGCAGAAAGCACGGCTTGTTTTAGCATGGCAAATCCCTGGGAGAGAAAACAAGCGGGAAAAGGGGGAAGGAGCCAGCACATTGTCCTCGCTTCCCCTCCAAACCCAGCCTCCCGCAGAGCCTGGCCACTCTCGCCCTCACGCTGCAGCTTTCCTAGGGTCCGCGACCCCTCAGAAGACATTGTTTTTCCTGACCTTGTTGTTTAGAGTTTCAAATGTACCCAGTTAGCGCTGGAAGATTTTAAACTCCTCTGGGACTTTTCCCTGCGTTGATTATGCATGACCACAAGCAATCCAACACTGGCTGGGTGAGTGACAGCAGCTGTGAGTCTACATACATGTCGTGGGGCCTGGCCTGCAGAGGAATGTGGGTGCTTTACCCCATGGCCTGCTGAGGCCTGGAGAGAACACAGCAAGTAGAATGAGCATGTCCCACGGGCCACCGTGCCAGGCAGTGCACCTGGACCTGCTTTGTGATGGCAGCTTCACTCCCCTGGTTAAGCAGGACTATCCGCATTGTCGGGAGCTCCGAGATATGAAGAGGGATGGACCCGTGCCCAGGGTTCTAAAACTATTGAGCATAAGACCTGAGATCTGAAGTCTAGCCTGTTTGAGCTCATTCTCTGAGGTTAGAAAAATGAAGCTGGTCAGCTATGAAATCAATTACCTAGGTCTAGGTCCAGCCCTGTTCTAGCAGAATTTGGGCAAATCTTCTATGTTAAAACTTGCAACAGTCACTGCATGACTTATGATAGGACTGATAAATGAACAACAGCAACAATAAAAAGAAATGAAAAAGGAGCAAAGATGTCATGTGGAAGGCAGGCGGGTATATTGAGATCGGTGTTGAGATCCGGTTGTGCTGATACAGCCGGGAGGTGGAAAGGCAGCTGTAGTTATTTTTTCTCACTCTTTAGGGTAGAACTGGGGCCCGCCGATAACATTTAGGGGAGGTTCTACTTGCATCCCCTCTCACAGGGACAGGAAGACTGGGCGGGAGGGCTGGGCAGGAGAGAAAGTGGCCCTTCCGGCGGACGCGGGCGTGTGGTGGCGCCGGGTGCCTGTGGAATGCCGCAGTCTTGCCGAGACGCATTTTGGTGATACATGCGAGGAGCTTTAAAAAGCTCCTATCTTTTGACTCAGTAATTACTTCAGTAAAATTCATCCTTAAACTCTAATGAGGAACACAAAAGGACAAAAATATCACACAGAGGTGTTTCTTGAAGGAGTATGTAGAATAGGGAGAAATGGAAACAAACTACCGTCCATCGTCCAGGGGGTGGTGAGAGGTAACCACAGGAAGCGTATCATGCAGACATAAAACTTTTGTGCATAAAAAATTTTAATTTTGGGAAAATGCTTAAAGTATGATGAGAAGTAGAAGAAAGGAGGGAAATGCAATCCACTTCCTTCACTTCCTCAGCGAAGCCTTCCCTAACCGCGCTGGCGAGGAAGAGTCCCGGCCCTTCTCTCCTAGCACTTACCACAATTGCACAATAATTACTGTGCTGAATGGCTTATGTGCGCACTTACACTTCTCCAGCCTGTCTTGCATTCGAATGCAAGCCCCACTAGGATAGCTATCGAGTCTGCTGTGCTCAGCGATTAATCTCCAGGGCCAAGAACAGCATTCGATAGGTGGAAGCCACTCAGCCAACATGAGGCATAACATGGAACCACGTGACGTGTGGCGCTTTATACCTCGCTTCCTGCATTTAGTATGACGTTTCCATGGCTCACCCATGTCATAGCAGTGTCAGTACTGCTCTCCTTATTGTTAAATGGTATCCATTGTAGGGAGATACAACATTTTAAAAATTAATTCATCAGTTGATGAACATTTGGGTTGTTTCCACTTTTGGGGTATTGTGATTAATGCTGCTATGAACATTTGTGTGCAAGTTTTTGTTGTGGCTGTGTGCTTTCATTTCTCTTGGACATACACCTAGGAATGGAATTGCTGGGTCATATAGTAACTCTCTGTTGAACTGTTTGAGGAGTGGACAAACTGTTTTTCCAAGTGACTTATCCATTTTGCACTTCCACCAGTGGGGGATGAGGGTTCACATTTCTCTGCATCCTCGCTAACACTTGTCTTATCTTTTTTATTTTAGCCATCCTAGTGGGTGTGAAATGGTATCACAGTGTGCTTTTGATTTGCATTTCCGTGATGAATAATGATGTAAAACATCATTTCATGTGATTATTGACCATCTGTATATCTTCTATAGAGAATATCTACTGAAATCTTTTGCCCATTTTAATGGGGTTGTCTTTTTATTGCAGAGTTATAAGGATTATTTATATATTCTGCAACAAGTTTCTTGGAAGATATAATACCAACATTTTCTCTCATTTTTGTGGGTTGTCCCTTGTGTTTATCAATGTTGTCCTTTGACAATCAAAAATATTTAATTTCGATGAAGTCCAATTTATTCATGTTACCTTTTGTTGATATTTCGTCTAAGAAATCAATGACTAATTCAAAGTAAGCAATATTTATTCCTATGCTTTCTTCTAAAGAGTTTGATAGTTTTAGCTGTTACCTTTAGGTCTACAATCCATTTTTGAGTTAGTTTTTATATATGCTATGAGGACATCCAGCACCATTTGCTGAAAATTGTTCTTTTTCATTGGATGGTCTTGGCACTCTCAGCAAGGATCTATTGCCTGTGAACACAAGGGTTTACTTCTGGACTCTCAATTCTATTCCACTGAACTCTGAGTGTATCCTTAAATGATACCACACTGTCCTGGTTAGTGTAGCTCTGTATTGGCTATTCTAAGTCTGTAGCATTTCCATATAAATTTTAGGATCAGCTTGTCAATTTCTGTAAAAAAATTAGTTGGGAAGTTGATAGGAATTGTGTTGAATCTGCAGATCAGCTTGGAGAGTGTTGTCATCCTAACAATGTTAAGTCAGTCTTCCAATCCATGAATGTGGGATGTTTTTGCATTTATTTAATTTAAGACAAATAAAAATAGAAATATAACAAAATTATGGGATGAAGCTAAAGCAGTGCTTAGAGGGAAATTTGTCTACATTTAAAAAATATGCCCACTTATATTTTTTAAAAAGAAAGTTCTCAAGTCAACAATCTATATTTCCATCTTAATAAATTAGACAAAAAGAGCAAACTAAACCCAAGGTAAACAGAAGAAAGAACATAAAATTAGAATGTAAATGAATGAAGTGGAGAACAGAAAAATAATAGAGAAAACCAATCAATCTAAAAGTTAGTTCTTTAAAAACTTCAACATTATAGAAGAAGCTTTAGCTAGACTATCCAAGGAAAAAAAAGAGAAAAGATTCAAA